AAAGAGAAAAAGAAAAGAAGAAGATATAAGATAGTGATGGATTGAAGAGAACGGAAAAGCTTTGAAAGAGGGAGCTTGCATTCGAGGGCGTGTCAGAAGTCTTATCGTTGAGCTTAGAGTGGTGGGTGGGTTGTATTTCGATCAAAATGAAAAGCTCGTCTTCTTCAAAGCTTCCTTATTATTATATTGTTCCGATTATTTGTATTAGTCACATTTTCTTTTATTTCTATCATTTCGATCTATCATAAAATGACAAACTTCTTCGATTTTTCAATCCCCCACACAAATAATATATGAAACTTAAGTGTGTTATTGATTTGTTAAAAATGGTATTCAAAAATATTTTCACTCAACAATAATTACAAATTTATAGAATATTTCGTAATGAATATGTTGAATAATAAAAAAAAAAAAAGAAAATTATTTATCATTAAATATCCAAACATTATGTCAAATACAAAATATTGCATTTAAATTATCGATGAAAAATTGATTAAGTTTATATAACATTTTCGAAGTAATGGTTCATAAAATAACTCAATAACTATAATAAAACATTGTATTAGACCGATAGATTGAAACAAAGTTTCAAATTAATGCAAATGATTAATTGAACAAAATTGTATCTAATTCTATCGCGCACGCGCGTTATTGGATTCAAATAATTTTCTTCTTTTCATTACTATCCCGTAATCGAATGTTAAGATCGTAAATTTTCGTACCGAGATATCTACATATATATATATATATATATATATATATATATATTGTATATGTATATATGTTATATGACAGAAGAAAGAATGTGGAAAAAGAGAGAAGGAAACTGTCCTGCGCAGAAGTCGATCGTGAGAAAATCACTACGCGCGCATTTGTATCGAGTAAAATTTTTCTGGCAAACGTTAATCTTCCTCTGTTAACATTATTCATCTCTAACCCTTTCTCAATTGAAAAAAATTATTGAAATAAAAATCGTATGCACTTGAAGTTTTTCTTTAACTCCACTCATCCAAATACACGATTCTTTTAAAAATGTGTCAAAAAAAAAAAAAAAAAAAAAAAAAAACTGTTAACTAATTTAAAAATTTCAACAAAATCAAAAATAAAATCCTATGCAAAATTATATATATATTTATCTTCAGGATGACAGGAATTGAATTATATTTGTGAATATCCAAATCATTTTTTTCTTTTCTATTTGATAGGATCCGCGCATGCGCGGGTCACCAACGTTCAATTATCTTTTTCCGCCTATCGAATAAAAAATAAAAGAAGAAGAAGAAAAATAACAATTTTGTCTACATTTTACAAATATGAAATATTTCAATAACGCAATCTCTGACCTTATATTGACCAAATATTTTAAGTATAATCTGCGAATATCCCGATGTGCGCGCACACGAAGATACAAAATTGATCTAATTGCAATGACGAATTAATTTGTTGAATCCAAGAAAAAATAATTATACGTTTTATCACACATTTTCTAATATTATTTATTTTTCTTCTCCTCAGCTGATTCGAATTCATCCACTTGTCATCGTTATCGTCATCGTCGTCATCTACGTCATCAAGGAACTAAGAAACGCGTTGCATCGAACGCGTCACGATGAATCGGGTCAGAAAACCACGAGCTAACCGATCTACTCTAATAACAAGATAGATAGATAGATAGATAGATAGATAAATAAAGATAAAGATAGTTATAGAAAGTGAGAAAGAGAGAGAAAGATGCACTGGTTGTTAAAACTCGTTCGTCACGCATACGCACAACCCGATTTAAAGCTCTTCCATTCTACTTTGTTCATATACTTATTTATTTCGATTATAATCTTTTTCTTCGATACTAATGAACAATATAGAAAAAAAAAAAACACGTCAATTTTGATTTTTCGACAGCCATAGTTTTACGCGCACTTCTCCAAATTCTACGATCTTATCAAAATTTAACTCCCACCCACCCCCCCAATCGTTCCTTACTAATTTTTGTATAAATCCAATCACTGATTAGAAGAAACAAATATCTAAATTCGTTCGAATACAACATTTCCCTTTTCTCGTAAATTCGATCAAAAATCCAACAAACCCCCCACCCATTCACCCACACCCTTTTCTTCCTATTACAAAACCAAAAACTTAATGAAAATCCTTGATAAAATGAAATCGAGGAACGTCCTTCCTCACTTTTACGTTCTGCGAACTATATCCACTCTCGATGATTAAACTCAATTCACTATTAATTATAAATTACAAAATTTATTCTTTGACCAAATGATAATGATTGTTTCAAAAAAAATAAGGAGGGATGAAAGGTTAGATATAGAGAAATAGTACAACGATGATAAAAAAGAATATTGAAAATTAGAAAAGATTAAAAAGAGATTTCGGAAATACAACCCTACCTTGTCTCACCCTTTCTCTCTCTCCTTCTCTCTCTTTCTCTCTTTCCTTCCTTCTCTCCCACCCAGTCCCTCTCTCTTACAGAATGGATCGAAGCTTCTCTTTAACAATCCTCTTTTACACTATCGACAATCTTCCTGTCTCTCTCTCTCTCTCTCTCTCTCTTTTTCATTTGAAATCATTTTTCTCAGTTCCCAAAAGGTTAGTCCGATTCACTTTCTACCTCTATCAATTTCTACCATTTATCTCGAACAAATTCATTTAAGGTTCGATTGAACTAACTGACGGACGGACGGACGGACGGACGGACAGATAAATGGGCGAACGAACAGACGGACAGACGGACGGACGAATTGACGGATAGGTAAAAGTTAAACTAACGATATTGGATCTAGACGATGAATCTATATAAAATTTGTCGAATCTTCAATATATGAAATATAAGAATAAAATTAAGGAATAAAACGGGAAGAGAAAGGAAGAAAAAAAAGAGAAAAAAAAATAATATACAAGGCGTGATTTTTTTGAGAGAAGAGATAAAGCACACAAACCTTGTCACCCATGGCTGCGGCGAGCGGTGTGTGTCGATGAAATAGAAGGTTAACAGCGCGACTTCGAGTGGACCAGAGACTGACTGGCGTTTCGTTTAGTCGAGAACCGCCGGCATCATCGACCCGTCCTTTCCCCACTACCACCGCCACCACCACTCACGCTACCCCACCAATCAACCAACCAACCCCCTACTTCTCGCTGTTAGAACCTAGCCGCCGTTCTATATGATTTTTTATTGGCAACCGTTTCTACCAAAGCTGCGCGCGCATGTTATATTCATCCCCACTCTTGTTCTTGATACCCTGGTACACCTCGGCGAACCAACCGGTAGAGTGAGAAAGAAAGATCCAAGCTCATTTGCTTGGTTGCAGCGCCACCGGTGCTGCGCGCACCATTTCGTTCCAACTATCGCGACGACAATTCCTACCTAACTCCCCTCTCCACTCAGTACCTACATTCCGCACCCCTTTCAGCCCCCAATCATCCTACTATCATTCTCTCTCTCTCTCTCTCTCTCTCTCTCTCTCTCTCTCTTTCTCTTTTCTAACATAAGCGTTACTCTATATAATACTAGAGTACTTCGTCCTACCCGGCAGCGCCACCGCCCAACCGAGCGAGGCCGACGTGCATCATCCCCACCACCACCCTCTCGAAGCCCAGAACCCCTGTATAACTCCATAACCCAACCCCCTTTTACCCTATCTCTCTCTCTCTCTCTTTCTTTATTTCCTTCGTTCGTTCGTTCGTTCGTTCGTTCGTTCGTTCGTTCGTTCGTTCGTTCGTTCGTTCGTTCGTTCCTTCCTTCCTTCCTTCATTTCTTTCTTTCTTTCTTTCTTTCTAACTCTATCTAACGCGCCCCCGAAACGCTAACGTCGAACTGCGCAAACTCGTCTAAAGCACGAAACTCTCTCTCAACAGTGTTTCTCTTCTTTCTCTTTCACCACCGCCTTAAACGTCCGAAATCTCTCAACATCTACGAGTCTTCTGTACTCCTTTTTTTTATTTTTTTTATTTTTTTTTTTTTTTAGTATCGATCTTATTTTCTTTTATTTTCTTTTATTTCTTTCAATAACAAAAGTGTTACATCTCTACGATTAATTTGGTATATGTGTGTAAGTATATTTTTTGTTTAGTTAGGCTTGAGTATATTATAATTCAGGGTTTAAGAGGAAAAAACGGGTTTTTATTGATTGAGAATCACTGTCGCACGATTCTGTGCTATTTATATGTTCCGGTGTATTGAACTAATTTGTACACGAAACAATATACAAATTTGTATATCAGTTAAATTAGAGTATATTGTAATTAGGGTTGAAAGAAAAAGGGTTTATTGGTTGAGAACCACTGTTGTACGATATTAACTATTTTATATGCTCGGTGTATTGAAGTCATTTGTACACGCAACATTTTATTGATGTGTGTGTGAGTTATTAGTTAGGTTAAAGTATATTATAATCAGGATTAAAAAAGAAAATTGGTTTATTGATTGAGAACCACTGTTGCACGATCTGTGCTACTGGGCTACGCGCCACACGGCGCTTTGGCCGACCGACCGACTCTACTCTCAACCCACTCATCACACATACACACACACACACACACATATATATATATATATATATAAGTTCATATATGTAGTAAAGTATGAAAGATAGAAAGAGATGAAAATACATGCAGTGCTATCTCTTATAACTGTCTTCCTTATTCTGCCACGATAGAAACCCTCTTTTCATCCCCCATTTTTTTATTCAAAAGATAAAAAGAGAAAGACAAAAAGTGTCTCTGCCTCTATATATCTCTGTGACTGTCTGTGTTTGTGTCTGCGTGTGTAATGTGTGTGTGAGAGAGAAGAGAGACTTAAAAGTAGGCTAAAAGTTCTACCATACAATCCTTTTTTTCTTTTTTTTTTATTTTATTTTACTTCGTAGTTACTTCTATCCCATCAAATGGTCTATGGAAAAGGAGGACCGTAAGGTGTTCTCTCTTACGATTCTACTACGACGAGATTACTTTTTTTTCCGGCTACCACCACCATCTTCTTCTTCTTCTTTTAACTTTCTTTCTTTCTTTTTTTTTTTTTTCATTTTTTTCCTTTTATATTTTCGTTCTTGGAATTCATGTGGAAGAATTTTGCAAGCACTCTCGCGAGTATAGTGCTAGAACGTGGGATCGATTTAAGAAGAAGGGTTGGTTTTGTACTATTATTTCGTATGCATTATTTCCTATTTCTACTACTGTGACTCTTCTTATTTTTCTTCTGATTTTCTATTTTTTGTTTCTTCTATACTCTTGTCTTCATGTATTTTGTATATCGTATTTTATACTTTTTGTTTTTGATTTTTTGGTAGCCTACGTTAGTTTTGTAACAGCTTTTCGTACGATTGAAACCGAAAAAGGAAGGGTTTCAAGATTTAAGTAGTTTCTCGTGTCACATACTCGTCATGATTTTTCACCACTTGGAGGGGGAGGGAGGAGGAGGAGGAGGAGGAGGATTTGCACAGGAACGATTTATAAATCGATACTTTTGGTGATACTCGATTGTATCAGTTGAGTTACATAATCACGCGCGGTACATCGAATTTTTGTTCCCCTTTGTTATTTAATTTTTGAAGAAGTTCGAACATATAGGGTGTATAAAATGATGATTAAGAATTAAAATTAGAATTGTTTAATGATGTAACATAACAAAGATTTATGTTTTCTATTTTAATAATAAACGATAATCAGAATGAAAAATATTATTAATATTTTTCTCATTTATAAAATCTGATTAACCATTACCATGAAAATAATATTTTTCATATTATGTCGTATTAGAAAATGTATATTAAAGGGTTGACAAATTTTAATCGAAATTTTTAATCGAAGAATATCTAAAAAAAAATTAGAAAAAATGTTTTCGATATTAATGATAGAACAATCATTTCATATTATTCGTATTTCTACATAATTTTTTTTCTGTTTAAATCTACTTCTTCAAATATTGATCAGATGGTAAATAAATCACGTTAACTGGTAACACGAGATTGGAAAGATAAATGTCGTAGGGTTCGTAAACCGATTTCTACTCTCAATTTCCATTAAACCCTTTTCATAGTTCGATCCATCCATAATTCCGTAGTTCTATTCCAGCAAAAGCTGGCTTTTCTCTTGCAGTTTGTCTTACGATTTGCCCCTTTCTGGATTTATTCGAACCATCGAGTAAACTCGATATATGTACAGATTTATATACACTTAAATGTATAACGGAAAAATTTAATATTTCAAAAAAGAAAAGAGAGTATATATTTTTAAAAAAAAAAAAAAAAAAAAAAAAAAAAAAGAAA